TGTGTGTGTGTGTGTGTGTATTCTTGGAGACTCTCACTGTGTGTGCACCTGGGCTTGCACTGTGTTGATGATCAACTGTTTTTGTAGTGAAAAAAGAAAAGAATAACAGATGAATTTATATTTATAATTTGCGTAGATATACGCACATATATAGACTTACACCCATAGTTGGTGTATATTTCTGTGTTTACTGGATAAATTGGGCTAATGATTAATATCTTTTTCTTTCTTTGCTAGTGTGGTTTGCTGAGGCCGTTGTGTGCTTTGCCTAGCATTATTTTGTTGATTTGCTTTGTGCTGAGTAAGGTAAAAGAGTAACAGATACATCTATGATCTTGATTGAGTATAACCTGCCAAGCGAATCCATAGAAACGTATTTGTGTGTTTTCTGGTTCTGGTCATTGTGCTCTTGGATTCTTTTCTTTCATTTTATTGATTGGGAGTTTCTTCTTAATACTGGGTAATATTTGTTATTTTCCTTGAATTAGATTTCATCTAGGTGATTTTTCTGGATTTCTCATCNATTCGTAATTGCTTTAACAGACCAGCATATTCAGTGGTCTGTGAGTTATTTTTGTGCAGTTGGTCCTGTTCTTAATTTGTGTTTTTTTTTTTTTTTCGTTTCCTTTGCTTGGGCACTGTGTGCTTTTTCCTGCATTGTTGTGTATTGGAGTGTTTTGTGGGGAGAAAGAAAAATAAAGAATACACATATGTATATTTGTAATTGTGCTTGGTCCTACAGGAAGAGGCATTTTGATGTACTTCTGTGCTTTACTCTTCTGATGGTCGTTCTCTTTAATTTTTTTTTCTTTTGGGTTTATTGGGATTATCTGTTTGTTATTGGGTACTGTGTGGGTTTTTACTTTAATTGGGGTACTTTCTGAGTTATGGTTGCAGTTTTCTGCAATATGTGTGTGCTTCTGCTTTAATTGTTGAGTGTTGTTTGATTTGTTGTGTATTCTTATTTTCTTGTCTACATTGATTCACTTTGTTTCTGTTTTTTTTGTAAGCGATTGAAGTAAGACTACTACAAGAAGTATTGTAATGGTAATGATGCGCTACGTGCTGTGTATCCTCGCTCTCCTGCTCTCCTGTGCGTGTGTGTACGTCCTCGCTGAAGAAGTGCCTG